TTTGGGAACTTGCCCAAAGCTCCACTTCTGGAAAGCCTCACTCTAGACCTAGTGAAGCAGAAACTGTGGAGGTGATGTGCAACAGTGTGGTAATAAAAGCTGTAGGTGGTGTAGGGTAAATGAAGATGCCCCTCTGTGGCTGTTACCTGTGGTAATGCAGGAGGCTTTTGAGAGCGAGCTCAGGGCACGTGTACCTGATGGCAGGCACCTGGAGTGTGGTATGGACGTGCGTAAGTGGGCACACCTGCGCCTGGAAGCGGAGCCTGTAAGGGCGGTGTCTCTCAGAGACATGGAAATGGCTATGGCGGAGTGGCTGTGAGAGGACGAGCAGCGGAGAGAACCCTGCCAGAGGGAGCCAGAAAGAATGAGTAAGATTCACTGGGAGCTGGGAGGCCTGCCAGCCTGTGGGCCCATGACAGTTGATGTAGAAAGAGCATTAAAGCCTGAAGAAGCTACTGAGGGCTCTAGGACTCTCCTTTATCGTTCTTCCCAATCGATAGAGAACCTACCTGCGCTTGCTGGTATTACGGGTGGTTGTAATGCTTTTTCACATTTGAGAATTGCAGCGATAATATGCTCTAGGATTTCAGTTCAAGAGCAAACTACTAAACACGTTTTGGGGCAATATCTGGTATTAGTATTTATGAACCATTTGGGACCCTACTCTGGGTTTCTGCTGTTGGTCCTTGCTATTAAATTTAATAGATACATCATGATGTGCTACACGAATAAGCATTTTTAAAAGGCTCTCTCGTAGACTCTTTGATTCTTGGTAGTTATATACTTTATAATTTGTAAGCATACCTAATAACCTTAGTTTTATGACTAGTTCATTCTTAAAAACCTGACCTCTGTAAAAAGTTATCAAACTGGGAAACTTTTTAAAGATTTTGTGTGTATGTGTGTGCATACAGAACTGGGGTACAGGCCAGAGGTGCAGGCAGTGAGAGGATTCACCAGAGACAGTGGGAGCAGAACAGGCAGTGATGAAGTACACTGCTGAGGGGAGCAGTGGGTGGGTGGACAGAGGTCTGCCTGGGATCCAATTCGTGCTAAAACGGCTGCAGATAGCTTAATAGTGCTGCGCTTTATGACTAGTTTGCCACCAAAGAGGGCCCAAATCAGGAAACATTTCTATTAATATTAATGGAAAAATTAATGTTGTGTTCCATCAGTATCTAAGATGCCCCAATAATTTTCAGATTAGAGTACATCTAATTAACAGTGAAAATAAGTTTGTGTAAATAAAGGTAGTATGTGCCAAAAATCATATGTAATGATAGGTACTTGCAAACAGAAAACTTGATCATGACTGGTGGCTAGTGTAGAGTTCAAAGGAGTCACTTTGAAAGGTGCTGGAGAATCAGGTGTAGACTTTAAAGCAGGTAATGGGGGGGGGTTGTGGTTTGCTTTCACTTAAAAGTAATTATAACTTATAAGTTATATAGCTTATAAGTAATTATAGCTATTGGGATGCAAATGAAACATAGCCTCTGTTTTCAGGAAAAAGGATTAAGATGCTCCCAGCAGCTCTCTTTATTAAAAGGTAAAAAAAAAAAAACAAAATGTTTTTTGAGGGCACAAAAGAGAAGAGAAGGAAAGCAAAGGAGAGAGTGACTGTGGAGGCTTACAGACTTTTCATCTTCAAATTAAGCCTTAGGAAGTGAATGGGATCCTGACTGACAGACATGGCATGCCATGCTGGATGAACAGTGAAGGAGAGGCTTCAGGACCTTTTGTCAGGGGACCGGGAGTCAGCTTGGAACCCTTGGAAAAGAAAGGGAAGGAGATGTGCTACCAGAGACAGCAGCAGGAGAGGGAACACTGGGCTCATTTCAGCTGCATTCCCTGAACAACAGGAATAGACGGGGCTTACAAGAGTAGGGCCTGTTTTAGGAAGAGTAAAATCAACGGAAAAGATAATTACAGCACAGAAAAATATTGTTAGGGCAAACTACAAGAGCATCTTTTAAACTTAGAAGTAGTGCATGTAGTACACAGATGGGAGAATTGTAAAGGCTACCTTTTCAGTCCTTCTTGGTGTATGTAGGCAAAACAACTTTTCTGATTCATCTGAGTGACATACATAATTTATTAATTTGTTCTTTATAATGTCCTCTGAATATAAATGATGGCATTGAATAAAGCAGTGAATGTATTTTTTAAAATATCACTTTTGTTATATTTTAAGTATGAATTTTAAAAAGTGGTACTTCAAAAGGACAGGGGAGAAAAGAATCTTTGTACAAAAGGTAGCTTTATGTTTCAAAGGACATTTAAATCCCCAAACTACCTAACAAGTATTATGTAAAGCAAGTCTGTAACAAGAAATGGCATGTTGAAGAACAAATATGATTAAAAACTCCTTTTCGTTAACTAGATGATCTAGCAAGCTTTTAGATGAGATGTTTTTTTGTTTGTTTTTGTTTTTTTTTTTTTAAGATTTATTTATTATTTATTCGTACAGAACTGGGGTACAGGCCAGAGATGTGGAGGTTGAGAGGATTCACCAGAGACAGAGTGGGGTACAGAGCAGCGGGCTGGCCAGGAGAGGTCTGCCTCGCCTTGTGGATCTCCTCCGGGGCAGGCGGGGATTGAACTCATGCGGAAGTGTCTTAAGCTTCTTTGTGCTGTGCTTTAACCCGCTGCGCCACCAGGGAGGGCCTAAATGAGATGGTTTTTAATATAAATTTTGTATATACTTCAGTGCTCATTTATGTAACCTTCTTGTGTCCCAGAGTTTCACAGTTCATTTGGTTTATAACCTATTCCAATTTGCATTCATGCTTTACTCTTGCTTGGCTCTGAAGGTAGAAGGAAAGAACCAAATTGCCCACAGGTTTTTTTTGTATGTGTGGAGGGGGGAAGGGATTTTATTGTTGCTGCTGTTTTGGTGTAGAAAGGGAAGATGATCTGTCTTAGAAAGGAGGATGCCTGTATTTTATTAGATGTGTAGAACTTCAAAATCATATGTAATATTTTATAATTACTTATTACATATTTCTTAAGTAGGAAGGTGGAGTATTTCTCTTTTGAATAAAAATATTTGGGAAGAAAAGTTATCAGACTCTACCCCCAGGAATATATTACATAGGAGTTAGTATGTAGGATGATTTTTATCTTGGGTGTAAAAAAACCTGAAAAAATTACCTATTTTACATGTCTTTCATAATGGACACATTATATTTCCCCAACTACCTCCAACTGTATTTAAAAAATAATTCAACAGTAATATTAAAACAGGTGAAAATCCCTTGTAGTTGGCAGGTATGACAGGAACAGAGCTGACATTGTTACGTAATTTGTTTAGCTTGTCAGGCAGTTTCCTTCCCACTTCCACACAGAGAATGTAGTACTTGTAGTAAATAGGTGTTTCCAAAGCTGCACAGTTAAAAATGTCCTAAGAAAGTACACATAGCCTCGGATTCCTACAGGTCATAATGCTTGACCCATAGATGGCCTCTTTTTAAAGAGAGAAAATCTGATGCTAACTTAATAGAAACTTGGTAAGCTCTTATATTGGGCATAGTTGTTATTACTGTTGTTTGTATAGGATTTAATGGGTGCTGAGTTGGTCAACAGTATGGTGGTTATACTGTTTGTTCTGTATAAGTTATGAGTTAGAGAGACACAGCCTGTAGTTATAGAGAAGAAAATGAGATACTGAAATTTGAAAGAATGGTTCTTAAATTTGGCACTGATAGGAATGCTTTTCAAAAAATAAATAGATGAGTACACATGGGATCCATCCTAAAAGAATTGGTTCTGAGATACTGGTAGCAACATTTGAGTGTGGTTACTATATGCCTTTGTGTGATCCATGTCCTATACCAGGAGTACAAAGGGGAGCCCAAATCTTGCCCATAACACCGAGCTTCCCAAGCCACGTGTCCTGGAACAGGACTGTCCAGAGAAGAGGGCTTTTTTTTTATTTTGTACACCCAACAGGAGCATTTATTTGTAGCTAGCAGGCTTGGAGGGAGAGTAACTTTTTGTAATTGGTTTTGAAGTGCCATATATACTAACTGAGTCCTCTTTGGAATACAGCACTTGGAAATTTTGTCAACAGCAGGTTTTCTCTGGGGTCATTTGCTGGTTACATATAATTAGGTGTTAGGTAATGAGAGTTATTAAGACATGGGGCTACTGCATTAGAACTGCAAATCCAGGCGGGAAAGCACTGATACAACAGCAGAACTGCACACTTCTTTAAGTCTTTATAAGAAGAGCCTATACTGTGGGCAGTGTGTGAACCAGTTCTCACAGATTAATCTTTACTTCTAGAAAGGGAACATCTTCATGGTTTTGAGACTGATTGCATTTCATTTAGATATGTATATGTGGTCTGGTATTAAAAGTCCTTTGAGGCCCTCCCTGGTGTCACAGCAGGTTAAAGCACAGCACAGAGAAGCTAAAGCCACTTCTGAATAAGTTCGAGTCCTGCCTGCCCCGGAGGTGACCACATGGCGTGGCAGACCTCTCCTGACCCGCCCGCTGCTCCCCTTAGCAGTGTACTTCTCCGATCTGCCTGTCCTGTTCCCCACTCTTGTCTCTGGTGAAGCCTTTCGCTGCCCCTGAGCCTCTGGCCTGTACCCCATTTCTGTATGCACAAATAAATAAATCTTTAAAAAAAAAAAAAGTCCTTTGAGAACAAAGCTGTATGATGTTTGAAACTAGTCAATTCAACAGAATAAGTGATTTTATAGAGAGAATATTGGGCTGCCAATTTAGGAGTTGATATGTCTCTAATTGTCTCACTAATTCAGTTGATAAACACAACCTGCTTAACTCTCTGGCCCTCAGTTCCCACATCTGTAAAGTGAAAGCAGTGTACTAAGTGTAAGGTCTCTTTCAGTTCCAACATTCTGTAATTAAAGCAATTTTTTTTCTAGCTGGCTTCCTAATTGCTATTAAATACATTAATGGAGAAGTATTTTAAGTCATGTTAGTCATACACAAGTCAAATAATGATTTTTGCTTGTTTGATACTTGTTTTTCAGAAACTCTGTGAAGGCATATTTAAAGTCCTTGTAAAAGACATCCCAACAACATGTCAAGTGTCCTGCCTGGAAGTTCTCCGAATTCTTTCCAGAGACAAAAAGGTTTTAGTTCCTGTAACAACTAAGGAAAATATGCAGATATTGCTGCGACTAGCCAAGCTAAATGAAACAGATGATTCTTTGGAGAAGGTGTCAGAGTTCCCAGTTATTGTGGAGTCTTTAAAATGTCTATGTAACATAGTGTTCAACAGTCAGATGGCACAGCAGCTCAGTCTGGAACTTAATCTTGCTGCAAAGCTTTGTAGTCTCCTAAGAAAGTGCAAGGACCGAAAGTTTATCAGTGACATTAAGTGCTTTGACTTGCGCTTGCTCTTCCTCCTGTCACTTCTGCACACCGACATCAGGTCACAACTGCGCTATGAGCTCCAGGGACTACCGCTGCTAACCCAGATCTTGGAAAGTGCCTTTAGCATCAAGTGGACCGATGAGTATGAATCGGCCATAGACCATAATGGACCTCCTCTCTCACCTCAGGAGACAGACTGTGCCATTGAGGCCCTCAAAGCTCTCTTCAATGTGACAGTAGACAGTTGGAAGGTGCATAAAGAGGTAAGGTTGAGAAGGGTATTTTTATCCACCTAGAATTTAAGTGGTGTGGGGCGTGCCTAGAGCTGCCACAAAAGAGGAATGCTAAGTTGGGAAATTAAGTTTCTAATTCCCCTTTAATCATTTGTATGACTCAAGATACATTTCCTAGCCATTATAAGTGTTATTCTTTATATTTGTATAACACTAATCAGAAGAATAGGGTGAAGTTGGACTACTGTTTTATAAGAAGGCATGTATAATTCCTTTTCTGAATTATGATCTCGTCTTTTTTTGGAGTGCCTCTCAGCAGCAGGGTTTCAGTAAGATGAGAAGGGAAACAAGATAAGTGGTTCATATAAATACATGAATTTTTTCAGTGACTGCATCTTAAAGAAAAGATAAATCAATAATGAGAATTTATGTCTGCTCAAAAGAGTAAAAGAGGCTGGGTATATCACCTGTCATCATAGTCTTCTACTAGGGTGTTAATTTAGAGTGTTAGATAAATGTCAGAAGTATAGGATTACAACTGGATATCCACATTTGTACACAGTCTTAGAAAATAAGCATAGTTATACCAGAATGTAGGGAAGGTTATTTTAAACTACTTGCTTATTTCTAGACTAAGATCTTTTTTCCTGTGGCTTGGACCTTATAGCAACCCAAAGTGAGGCAAATCTGATAGTATATATTTAAGTACCCACAATAACAGTATGCTAATAACCTGGAAACTTAAGTTTAAGGAACTCAACAGTTTTAAGTAATATGAACATAACGTTTATCCTTTTAGAATCTTAATGTTTCATATTTACCCTCTAACATTAAATAACTGGTAACATTCAACCCTTTTTTAAAAAGAAAGATAAGAACTAGAGCAAATTCTTACAGTTAACCTTAGTACTTATGTTAACATTATGCTCTCTCTGTCCATGGGAAGCAGTTCTTATTGTGAATAAAGATCAGTTTTTGCCAACAGTCTATTTTGACAGGATTATCTCAGGGCACTGCTATTAGGAGTGTGTCAGCTTAAATTAAAGTGCTAATAGGTCTATATTTTGAAACCAAATATTTGAAGATCTGTCCTAAACCGCTGTTTTAGATGACTGTAATATGGTCAGTTTTTTTCTGGGGCTTGGCAGGAAAAGATGTGGAAAGCCCACAGACTCCTTTTATGCTTTGAAACCAAATATTTGGAAGTATTTAAAATGTTATGTCTCTACTTATTTGGTACTTTCTATGGTTATTTTTCTTACACTATTTTGGTGTTTTGACGTTCTTCCTTTAGCTGCACTAACTCTTCTGACATTGTTGGTTTGCCATAGGTAGAACTGCTGCCTTTTAAATTGTGCCCCAAATAGTAACTCACTCTGTTCGTTTCTGACATAAAGGGTTAATAGTTATATTTCAGTATATGTATGGGAAGACATGTAATAGCAGTAAATTGAGATTAGCTCTCTTAGTTGTCTTTATTGGTAATAGTGGGCTTAGAAGAAGCTTTAAAATGTTGAAGTAGCAGATACTTATTCTGTGTTGTAGAATGTTTCTTCTTCAAGAGGTACATGAACAGGATCTGTAGTCCTGAAGTAGGCATCTCAGTCCTGACTTAGTCCCTTCTGTGAGATGTGAATCAGTTATAAGACCATATGGAAAGTTATTATACAATCCAGCTTTTAAAAAAAAAATAACATTATTGTCCTTATTATGAAGGAATATAAAAAAAACTTATCGTATATCTTTTTGTGGAGAAAAAAGATACAAGCAGTAAAAAAATAAATTAACTATAAAATACCAAAATGTATTGTATAATACATTTTATACAATAATATACATAATAAGCTTCATTGTATAATATGTATACAATGCATATTATTTAAAAAATGCATGGTTTTTAAAAATCCAGCCATTTTATAATCTTCCTTTTTGTTTTAGAGTAAAGATTCTTGAAAAATAGTGATTTTCAAAAATGTGTTCCCTGAAGCCTTATTAAGTTTTTAGGAGTAGTTTCTGGGAAGGAGTGGGCAATGCTCCAGTTTTCCCACCTTCACTTTAAAATGATAACCTTTGTTTGTTACTGTTGGTTTTCTTAACATATAAGTTGTATTTAGATTTCATTGAGGGGAATAAAAATAGTTCTGTAACCTTCCCCCAAAAGGTTTTGAGAACCTCTTTCTTGTGTTTGTTGAAGATGGTGACTCTGAGGATTAGCTTTCATGAGACTTGATCAATCTTTAATAAATCTCATGTGCAAGCATTGTTTGCAGTCATTTGTTATTTAAATAGTAATACAGTGAATTATCTTGTAAAATTCAGTAGGTAAATCAATGAAAATTTAGGCTAAAATTTTTCAAAACTGTTAAGGTTTTTTGATGTGTATTGCCAAATTCACTTTCAGGCAGAATACTGCTATTTTGTTCCTTTTCAAATGGTGGATATTTCTTCTTAAAAAAAAAAAACTTTACCTATTTTACAGTTCAGCCATTACAGAAAATACAGATGGTTTGAACTGTTTAATAGGCATTTTTTAATTTTTTATTACTTATTTATAGTTTGCCAAAATCTGAAAAGTAATGACTAGGTTTTTTACTTGAGATTTTGCAAACTTGTGCCTTTACTCATTTTAGATTTATGCCTTAGTGTTAAATTTCTTCCTGCCTGCTGATGTCACCAGTAGGTTGGGAGATTCTTCTATTCAGTAAGAAGAGTGTGTTATCAGTGTCCCACGCCGACAACCCCTCTTGACTCTCTTCCTTTCCTGAAGGTAGCATGTTTAAGAGGGCCAGTGATTGCTTAGGTCAGCCCTGAAGTCAGTTCTAGAAAAGTTAATTGAAATGGCCTTGTATTCTCCTGCTTTAACATTTTGCTGAATCTTAGTTGATGGAAGAAGTTGTGTTATTGTAGAGATCCCTTAGTCAGCATATGTTGCCTTCAACAGAACTGCCCAGATACTACTGCAATGAAATGAAAAATTACAAGGACCAACAGACAATTTAGAGCCTGACAACCCAGTGTCAAAAAAGAAATAGTACAACTATCTGAGCAAAGGATGTAAATTTGAGTGAGATTAAGCAGTGTTCATAGAAGTTTAATTGGAAATATCCCATTGTAACAGAAGAGGTTAGTTCCATGCTTACTTTAGAAACTTTGAGGAAATTGTGAAAAAGGGGCATAATATTAATGAAATAGAAAAAAGCTTCCAGCTTTACTATGTTTTATTTTACTGAATCACTTGTCCAACATTTTTTTGAATGCCAAATGTACCAAGTTCTGTTAGGCATACAAGATAAAATATCACTGCCCTCAAAGAACTAATAGCTTAATAGAAAAATCAGTCTTATAAAGAGAGGTGGCTATACAATTGTTACATTATTTTCTGTTTAATTTTTTTTGAACTTTATATATATTTTACATCAGTTGTTCATTTTTGTACAATGTTTGCTTTTTTTCCTCAGGTGTAGTCCCCATGGAATTTCTACCACCAGTTCACCTGTGTACAATCACCATAGTCCCTTGTGTTCTTCCTGTCCTCATTTTGGTTCCTCTCCCTCCCCTGCAGGATGTCTGATTTATAGTTGCCAGTTTATTGTTCTTTTGTTGTGTTTATTTTTTTCTCTGATCCCATGTTTTGGTTCCCCTATGTTCCTTCTGTAAGTGAAATCATCCAATATTTTTCTTTTTCCTTCTGACTTATTTCACTGACCATAATCCCTTCTAGCTCCATCCATGTCGCTGCAAATGGCATGAGTTTATCCTTTTTGTTTGCTGAATAAGTATTCCATTGTGTATGTACACCACATCTTTTTGATCTACTTATCTACATTTGGGCATTTGGGTTGTTTCCAAGTTTACCTGTTATAAATCGTGCTGCATTAAACAGAGAGATGCAGGTATCCTTTTGAATTAATGGTTTTGTGTCCTTTGGGTAGATCCCTAAGAGTGGAATTGCTGGGTCATATGATAGCTCCATTTTTAGTAGACTGAGGAAGCTCCACATAGGTTTCCATAGTGGTTGGACCAGTTTGTATTCCCACCAGCAGTGTTGGAGAGTTCCTTTTCTCAGTACATCCTTGCCAGCATTTGTTGTTGCAAGTTTTTAAAATATTTTAAATATGTGCCATTCGCTCTGGTGTAAGTGGTATCAGCTTGTGGTTTTGACTTGCATTTCCCTAATTATGAGGGTTTTTGCACATTTTTTCATGTGCCTATTGACCATTTGCATTTCCTCTTTGGAAAAATATCTTTTAAGTTCGTCTGCCCATTTTTTGACTGGATTGTGTACTTTGTTGAGTCATTTGAGTTCTTTGTATATCTTTGTGATTAGTCCCTTACCACTTGTATGGCATGCAAAAATGATCTCCCAAACAGTAGGGTGTCTCTTTGTTTTGGTTAGTGTCTCTTTCACTTATTTTCTCTTTATTATCTGTTTGGTTTTTTGTTTGTTTTTGGAAAAGAGAATCACCTCTGCAGTACATAAATGCTTCAAATGAAATATCTTGGCCTCTGGTCTAATTTCACTGACATGTTTTGTTAAATGCCTTACCTAGCATAGAGTAGACATTCAATGAATACTTGTTTAATGAAAAGTAAAATGTGATACAGTTTCATAACTAAAAAGTATAAAAAGCAGAATAGCCTGAGGTTGACAGGGAGAAAAGGAGAATTTATGGTAACTTTTAAATCTTAAAGTTTGTAAGAATTCTCTTAATAATAATGTTTGTAGTAGCAAATTTCTAGCCTTTGGGCTTTATGATACTGTTTTACATTAATGTCTCCTTTTGTAAGTTATTTTAAAAAATCACTTATGTGCTGCACCATGTTAGATGCAGAAGATGTGGTGATAAAATACATGCTCTTTCCCTATAAAGTAACTGAGATGTTTGAACATAAAACAATTCAGTAGGACAATTAACTATGGTAAAGGTAAGCAAAAATGCTCAGGTAAAACATAAGATGAAATGTTACCTGATGTAGCTATAATACCAGGTAAGAGTGGGGTGAGGTGTGTGTGTGTGTGTGTGTGTGTGCGCGCGCGCATTAACACGCACGCGTGCATGGCTGAGTATGTGCATTTATTTTATATAATTGAAATAGAATTTTTCTAATCAAGTTTTCTTACCCTTCTTAAAGTAATTAGAATTACTTTGGGATAATCAAAGCAAATTTATTGGTGTTAAGTGATCTCCTTTCAGGCTATCTAGCTATGATTAGGTTGGTCAAAGTTTCAAGTGAAAAGATGTGAGGAATTGATGCTCTGTCAAAGAAAAGTTAAGTAATCCAAACTTTCATAAGTGAAAGAACAGCAGCAATGCAGTAGTAGGATCTCTACTTAAGAAGTAGAGATAAAGAATTCCCAAATGATTTAAGTATTAGTCTGTCTCATTTTTATTTCTAATATCACAACAAACCTGCTTACCTTCTCTTTTCTTCCTCTCTTTGTTCTTAGGGATTTTTTCCCCTTCTCAACCTAGATATAGTATCATCTGAGAGAAGGGAATAACAGTGCCTCAGAGATAGTCAAAACTAAGATCACAGTTGTATAGGCTATGTATAATGTTTTATAAAAAGCAATTATATGTAATCCTTGCATCCTTGTGAAACAGGAATACTAACCCTACTTGACAGATGAGGACACAGATGATCAGAGTTTAAATTATTTATGGAAAGTCTCACTGCAGAATAACCAATAGCAGGAAATAGTGTCCTCTTTAACCTTTGTTAAGACGTAAGTGATAGTACTCATTCAACAAATATTTGAGACAGACTAATAGATAACAACTTACACATACAATTCAACTGACTTATACAGATAACACTGAAATGCTGTAGGGAAAAGTAGTCTTAAGTTTCACTGAATCATTTGTGTAACTAGACAGAAATGAATGTCACCCTTATACCATACACAAAATTGTCCTCCTAATTTGTGATGGATAAGAGATCTAAATGTAAAAGGCAAAACGGAAAAACTTTTAGAAGAAAATAGATCATTTTCATTATTTTATCTTTAAGAAATCAGACACTTCTTAAGTAGGTAAGAATTTCTAAAACGGGACAAAATAAAGGACAAACTGTAAACAAAAAATAAACAAATTAGCCTTCACTAAGATGAGTTCATCAAGAGAAGAAAATAAATAGGCCACCGAATGAGAGAAATTTGCATTGTAGATGTGATAAGGACTCTATCCAGAACACATTAAAAATGACTACATATCCATAAAGCCAGTCCACCTGAATGAAAACTAGGCAAAGGAAAGACTGACACTGCCAGGATTGGCAAAGCTACAAAGCAACTGGCGGGAGTATGAATTGCTATAAATACTTGGAAACACTAGCAGTACCTTTAGTCTCTTAGACTGTAAGCAATCCAAGTGTCCAACAAAAGTAGGGTAAATAAATTGTAGTGCATTCATTACATTCAGTAGTAGTTCTTTTTTACAGATTTATTTATTTGAGCATACAGAATTGGGGTACAGGCCAGAGGTGTTGGTGGGTGAGAGGATTCACCAGAGACAGAGTGGGGAGCAGAACAGATGTACTGAAATACACTGCTGAGGGAGCAGCAGGTGGGACAGGAGAGGTCTGCTGTGCCATGTGGGTCACCTTCCCTCTCTGGTGGGGGATCAAACGCGTGCTGCATTGTCTTCAGAGAGCTTCATAATGCCATGCTTTATTTAACCCATTGCACCATCAGGGAGAGCCCTGTGCTTTTTTTTTTTTTTTTTTTTTTTTTAAATATGGTAAGGGCCAAATTTTTTCTGTCAGAATGAAACTCTTGTGTAATTCCATATTATACACAACACCAACCTTGAAAAGTCTGCATATTTGTGTGCATTTCCTGCACTCATGGCATTGCACACAGAATGTGTACTAACTGTAGTTCACCTACCATACTTAGAATAGTACTTTTGTCAAGTAATGAAAACAAACTAAATATACACAACATGGATGAACCTTACACTTGGACTAAAAGTGTCTAAATTTTGTGAGTCCACTTTATGAAGTTTAATGACAGAACAAATCATGCACAATGCTACAAGTTAGTATTATACTTTAGGATGGGGAGACTGTCATTTGCAGGAGCCATGAAGAGAATTCTAGAGTTTTTAATCTTGGCATTGATCATTTTTGTACTGGTCATATGGATGTGCTTATTTTGTGAAGTCATTTTGCTGTATTTTTGTGATTTGGGAAGTTTATGTCACATATAGCCATTTACATTAGAATGTACTGAATACCTGTTCAATACATGCCCTCTTAATTTGTGAGGGTAACATATTGGTGGGCAAAGTAACATAATGGCAAATATATAACAAATGTGAAATTAAAAATTATGATATTAAACAAAATGGACAAGAAAATAATTATGGAAGACCTTTATTTATTTAAGGTGGTCAAGCTTCACTGAAAAAAACACTTTAGCCAAGTCCCAGAAGAAAAGGAATCAGTGATGTTAAGAGCAGAGACACAATCCAGGGACTTCAGTAATTGTTTTGGCTGTTCTGAGTAGAGAAATTGAAGAGAATTTAGTGTGTTTTTGGTAAAAATGATCATTGCAAGCATGGGATACAAGTTGGGAATTGGTGTTATGCAAGTTGGAACAGGAGGAAGTGGGATGAAAAGTTTGGTTTTGGCTTTTATTTGCAAATAATGGAAAGACCAAAATGGCTAGTTTCACAAGAGACTTGTCAACATCATTGTGAGAAGAGAAATACTGTGATAGCTAGAATAAAGGAAAATCTAGTTTAAAAGCATGTGCATTCCCAGTTAATTTTCAAAACCAAGGAAAATACTAACAAGTAATGGATGAGTTTCAGTATGCTTATAATTTGGGCCAAGTACGTTCACATATTAGGGAGTTTTGATTCAGGTATTTGAAGGTAGGTGTTGAGTAAGTGCTGTCACCCCAGCACTCCACCCTCAGAGTCCTGCACCCCATACCTCTCTCCCCTTCCCTCCTTTTTCCAGTACACACTTATTTCCTTACCACTCTTTACGGTTCTTTTGTCTTTTGTTTCCTTCCTCCATCTTCTCACTTGTGTTTCATTCAAAGTAGTAAGCACTTTGGTGTGCATCTTTCATTTAATTTAATCATTTTATAGTCTTAACAGATCCATGTTTTTAGAGATCATGCTTAGGGGAAATGTCTCAGAGAAGCTATATATATAAAACTTGTCTGTGGTCATAGCCTAGAATCCAGACTCCTAAGCCCAATGCATTTTCATTAGGCCTCATCTCTGCCAAATCTACACGTGATTGTGTACTGCTTAAAATTGTGTCATTTGCTTTATTAGTAACAGAAGTGTGCCTTTGTTACATTTTATAAGAGAGACTCAGTCCTTAGAAGGGCTGTTACATATGTGAAAATAGGACATAGTATGTATAGCATGTGACTATATTTTTTACATTAGACCTAAAATCAATTCTGTATACCAAGTTTACAATTTCTAAGTAGCTCTTAAAGTGATTGGAGTCTTTCTGAAGTATGACATCTTGGATCATTAATACAAAATTGATGTTAGAGATTTTAATCTATTCCTTTTGAAACTTTAGAAGTGAGACGTTTTTGTTAAAGATGTACAACCCCCTAAAATAACTGACCTTTTATAATGACTAGTAAACTCAAAGTATATTATAGAACAAAGAAGCGAGACTTTTTGGAAATGGAAAACATTCCTAGTTTTAAATAATTATTAAGATACAGTATGGGTGATGATCATGTCTCTGCCTGACGTGCTTTAAAGGAATGGCCCAGCTCAGCTTCTGACTTAAGCCATTTCTGGGTACGATTGTAGTTGTTCATATGAGATTTTGACTATTCACTGAGTATTGCCTTGGGAATTCACTGATTTCTACCTTGTACAGTGTAAGAATGACTTTGGAGGGGGTGGGAGGACAAATGGGCTATAAGATTACTCCCAGGAATGTAGGACTTTATCAGACTCCCTCGCTAAGGCATTCTGTCCCCAATTTTCCTCCTCCTCTTCTTCTTCTTTTTTTTTTTTTTATTTGCCACAGAGTGATTCTCATCAGTTCCGTGTCATGGCAGCTGTTCTTCGCCATTGTTTACTAATTGTAGGTCCAACTGAAGACAAAACAGAAGAGCTGCACAGGTAGGTGGCCTTTGTATTGACTTCAGTGAAGGATATCATCCTGTGTCCTTGTTTTTATGCATCTAATTTAAATTATTTTAAGCACAAAGTGAAAATGTGACAGAAAATCAGGTAAATGGAAGATGAGAAATCATTACTGTATCTTTCTGAGAAATTTCTACTCTGTCTTTTTGTTATATTGAGCCCCAGCTTGAGAAGAGAATTTGTCATATAGTGTATTCAGCAATAAAACCAGAACAGTAGAACTCAGTTATTGACTGTTGACTGTGTGCAGCATTTTGCTAAAGGCTTTTACAAAGGCTAACTTCTTTTAAGCATCATACCAACCAATGAGGTGTAGGTATTGTTATTTTTCCCTTTAAATAGATGAAGAAACTGAGGCATGGAAAAATCAAATAATTTCTTCCAGATTATACAGATTATACAGCTCTACTAAATGGAAGAGTTTAAGATTAAACCCTGTTTTTAATCACTACAGTTAACCTGATACTCTAATTTCATTGTGAAGCATTTACCACAGAGTGTATCTCAAGCATTTTTTTAAAATTGAGGTAACATTGGCTTACATACAATTATTACATATATGATTCAGAGGTAAAGTTTTACACTTCTTCAGATGTATGTTAACATATCATGTCCACTCCAGGGCACTCATATCCTGCACTATCAAAAGTAGTGATATATAAAGTATACTTAAAGTTTTGTGACTTGCATGTTAGAGCTATTCTTGATTTTCTGTTAAAATTTATTTCCTCTGAAGGTCTCTCCTTTGTGGTACAATGGGTTAAAGCACAGCACTTTGAAGCTCTCCTATGCCACTTCAGCATGAATTCGATCCCTAGCCAGGGAGCTGACCCACATGGCGTGGCAGACCTTTCCTGTCTCTCCCGCTGCTCCCCTCAGCAGTGTACTTTGTCCATCTGCCTGTTCTGTTCCTCACTCTGTCTCTGGTGAATTCTCTCACCGCCCCACCCCCCACATCTCTGGCCTGTACCCCAGTTCATAAGCATAAAGTAGTAAATATTTTTTAAAAATTTGTTCCCTCTGAGAACAACTGGATAAGTATTAATGTGTTTTTTTTTCTAATTCCGGTTCTATTCTATATCAAATTGACAGTAGCAAGACATCTATCTTTAAAATGAGACTGCTCATGGTGCTTTATTCTATAATAATGCAAAAGTACTGTAGATAATTCAGGTAAATTTAAGTCTGCAAACAAATAATGTTAGCATTAACTACTTTACAGATAATTTAAAATTGGGTTCTTTTTAAAAGTAGATACTGCCTTTTGAGCACCTACAGTATTGCGGTTTTCAAAATATGGCTTAAATAAAACTTAATGGAAATATAACCAGAATGAAAAATGATACTAAAGCTAAAAATGGATTTATAATAAGTTAATTTTTTTTTAAAGATTTACTTATTTATGCATACAGAACTGGGGTACAGGCCAGAGGTGCACTGGTGAGAGGATTTTCCAGAGAGAGTGGGGAGAACAGGCAGATCAGCTGAACCCATTGCTTAGGGAAACAACAGGGGGGAAAGAAGAGGTCTCTTGCGCCAGATAGGTCACCTCGCTGGCTGGGGATCGAATTCATACTACAGTGTCAGTGAATTGCTTCATAGTACTGCAGTTCAACCCTTTGTGCCAGTAGGGAGGGCCCTAGTTTTTAATTTTTTTTTTTGAAATAATCTATCATGAGTTAAATAGGGTCATACAAGGATGTAAAGAGAAAATGTTCTAACCAGAATCATTATATTGATGATAAAAACATTGTCAAAGATTTTTATGAAGAATAAATTTAATAGAGTACCCAGTATTTTCAAAAGAAACCAAAACTGTATAGAGGTTTTAAAATCAGATTTTTTTTAAGGTGGTCACATTTCATTATTTTCCTTTGCCATAGTTGCTTTAAATGCTTATTATTTGAATAAAAATTCAAAGATACTTTACTTTTATCTTTCAAGTTGCTAAAATATTTTTATAATTAAGAAAGGACACCCCTAGAATTACAATTATTTCTCGGAGGCTTTTTCTGGTTTCTTTTGACTTGACAGATAATCTGGAATGGCCCAGCATGTCCTTTTTGATTGCTTCATTTTTTTTACATCATTCTTCATTTTATGCATTTTTTCCATCTCAGTTATAATCCCATTGCCAATCACTAATCAGAATTAGTGACTGGTATCATTTTGAATAGTAGTGACTGTAGACTAATCTATTAAATACAGAGAAAACTGGACCAACTGAAAGGGCTATTTTAAGATCTTTTTAGAATGGTAATATCTACTAAATTCTGCTCACTTGTAGTGACCCTGAAAACAGCTTCAGAGTGTGTGGGTTTAAGGCATAGTTTTTAAAAAATAATGTTTAAAAAGAATTCCAATTTTACAAGTAATTTGGTTATTTGCTTTTGATATTTTTTTGAGGTAAAGAAACATAAACCTGGATAGTATAGTGAATAGTCATGAATTTTCATCAAACTCACAGGATTGTGATGATGACTAAAGCTCTTAATTCTCGTAATTCCTAGCACTGAGTAAGCTGTAAGTAGCTGGAGGCTGCTGAGTCTGTACTGTTGCTATTGTGATAAGCACATTGGCTTTTAGAGCACATATTTAGTTCACATTTTTTAAGTTGTTTCTTGATTGGGTATTTTGTTTAGGAACTTGTTTTTGTGTATATACTGTGATGGTGTAGAGAAATCTGTTTTATGTTAATCTGTTTTTCTCAAACCAGATGGTTTATGGTACATATACTCAGGAGCCTAGTAAGGTACTATAGGAAAAGAGCAAAAAAAATGGCTTAGCTGCAGCTTTTTCTGACATGTTGTCTCTGTAAGAGTGTTGTTGTTTTTTTTTTTCTTTGAAAAAATTAAAAGAACATGGGCACAGAGATTTAAAAAAAAAAAAAAAAGCTGTCACAAAGATAGCTGACCTTGACCTTTATTTCCACTAATCAGCATCTTTTAAAAATCTTGTCTGTACTTATGGTAACAAGTGAATTGTGTTGGCATGATCACCTTTTCTGCTACATTAAAGGACTTCCTACTGTGTTCACCTCTATCTGAAAGTATTTTCAGCCCTGTGTCCATAGCAAGTTTATGCATAAGCACTTAGTACCCCCAAATGGCATGTAGATGTGGTTTTGTTTTATTTTAGAAAGAGGGAGAGAAATGCAATGGTCTATGTATTGGAGGGGTAAGAAAGGTCCAGATCTAGTTTAACTTTTTTAAGACTCTCAATCTAAATTTTGGCTCAGCACATTGGCATCTACTAAAAAAAAAAAAAATTAACCCAAAAGAGTCAGAATGTTCCTAAAAAGTACTACTACTGCTTTTTTTTCCTTGTTTGTTTAGACTAATTCATTTTATCTCACATATTGAAAGGGACAATTCAGTACCTAGTGACACCTCATTACAATGTTAAGCATAATGTCTTTACCCACTTTATTGAGATATAATTGACATGTTACATTGTATAAGTGTAAGGTGTTCAATGTATTGATTTGATGCTCGTATATTGCCAGACAATTACCACTATGGCATTGGCAAAGCAGAATGTCTTACACATGGCAAACAAATGTTTGAAAATTGGATGATTTTATTTTGAATTCTGTTTGAGTGTTTATTATGTGCTGGGCACTGTGTCATACATTAGGGCAATAAAAATGAATAGTGTGATCTCTGTTCTCCAAGATTTCGCACAGACTTATAAGTAAACAAGTTATTATGACGAGTTTTCTATCACACATAAAAAGCGTATATGGATATACAGCAAAAGGAGTTTACTTAGTCTCACTTTGAAAAGTGAATTTTATTTCATCTTTTTTTATGATCTTTAAAGCTCTTTGCACTTGAAACTCACTAGGACAACAGTTTTTTAGGTGAACAAAACTTTTTTGAATTATGGTTGAGCATGTTATGTACTCATAGGACTCCCCAGTGCATTCTCTGGAGGAACATAGAGTTTAATTGGGGAGATACGACAAATATTATGAAAAGTTAGGTAACATTTCAAGACAAGATAGAAGTGATACCACAGGATAGTTTTTGAGTAGTCTCCCAATGAATTAATCATACGAAGAGAATTCAGAGGACAAGTGCACTGTGCTTAATGCGATGAGGAAGGGCTTCACTTATGCCGTAGCTGTTCTTTCTAAGTCCTCAGGCCGCTTGTCCCCTGATGATTCCTTTTTCTCCTATGAGCCCCCTTGTGTGTTTGTCTTCTTCCTCTCTGTTCTAAAGCATCAGTTCATTTCAGCCTCTCCCTCCATGCCTGTCAGTATCCAAACACCCAATCCCAGATCTGTCATACTCCCTTCTTCCCCCACTACTAAATTCAGATTTCTGAGCTCTGAAGGAAGTTTTATCTAACCTGACACATGGGTCTGTAGTTTTTCAAAAAGGAAATCTGCTTAGAAAGCCAGCACTGTTCCCCCTGTGTCTTTCTAATTAGTATATTTTTTCATCCCTGTGAATTTATTAATGACCTACAGCCTTATTTAGAAAATCTTTGCCCGTGATCTGACCCCTCTTTCATCCTCTATATATTTTCTACCTAATCTTTGCAACTGCCCTCATCCTCAGCAGATGCATGGTTTTACTTGGAAGGAATGTATATTTGGGGTGGTTTGGGTGAATATAAAAGTGTTAAAAGTCTTGGGGCCCTCCCTGGTGGCGCAGCTGGTTAAAGCACTGCACTGAGAAGCTAAAGCCACTCCCGCATGAGTTCGAAGTACACTGCTGAGAGGAGCAGTGGGCGGGTCAGGAGAGGTCTGCCTCGCCATGTGGATCACCTCCGGGGCAGGCGGGGATTGAACTCATGCGGAAGTGGCTTAAGCTTCTTTGTGCTGTGCTTTAACCCGCTGCACCACCAGGGAGAGCCCTCTGCATGGCTTTGTAACCTACACATCCACCTGGTGGGATAAATTTATTTTTATTTTGGAGAAAAGGACACTGAGGCCTAGAAGTAGTCATGTAGTTTTCCTGAGGCACAGG